CCGGCAAGGACTGAACAGGAGGGCCACCAGAGTCAGAAGACTCCTCAACTGGGTCCACCAACGGAAGGGGGGTGACATGGGACACACCAGAGGGGGCGGGACGGGGAGGAGGAGGAGGAGGGGCAGGGACTACCGGGGGAGGAGTGACCAGGAACAGGGGGGGGGTAACCGGGGGACCACGGTGGGGGAAGCAACGGTAGTAGGAGACGGACTCGTCAAAGGTGACGTCACGAGAGTGAAAGAAGCGGTGAGACGGCGGGTGGTAAAAGTGCCAGTCGGACGCGTCAAGGGGAAAACCGAGGAAGACGCAGGGAAGGGTGCGGGAAGTGAGCTTGTCCGTGCCGGAGGCACGGACGTGAGCAAGGCAGCCCCAGACGTGGAACGCAGACGCGTCACCAGGAGACCCAGTCCAAAGACGAGTCGGCGAAACCTGCGGCTGCTGAGGGTGCGGCCACAAGTTAAGCTGGTGAGAAGCGTAGCGCACAGCGAACGGCCACAGAAAATGGGGTGCACCGGCATGGATCATGGAGGTGCGAGTCACCTCCATGACCAAACCGATGCGTCGCTCAGCGACCCCATTCTGCTGTGGGGAGTCCGGTAGGGTGAACGTCTGGGTGATGCCCTCCGCACGACAAAAGCGACCAAGGACACCGGAGGCAAACTCGCCACCACGGTCGGAGTGAAGACGCAAGACAGGGAGACCGCGGTGGACACGCGCAGAGACAAGCCAGGGGATGAGAGCGCCAGGCACGTCGGCCTTGCGCTCCAGGGGAAAGACTGTGGTGTAACGAGTGAAGTCGTCGACAAGCACAAGGAAGTAGCGCTCTCGACGCGGCCCAAGGACGGGGGCGGGGCCCCAGACGTCCAGGTGCAGGGTCTGCAGTGGCGCGGCGGTAGGGGGAAACGAGGAGGAGTGCGGGGCACGGCGAAGCCGACCCTCAACACAAGGCATGCAAGGTGGGGCTGGGGAGGAGGGAAACGTGGGGAGGGAACTTGGGAGACCAAGGACAAGACCGTGCTGGGACATGTGACGCAGACGCGGGAGCGCAGGGTGACCTAGGCGGTGGTGCCAAAGGAGAGTCGGGTGAGTGAGGGACCGACAGGAGCAGGCAGCAGCAACCTGGGTAGACGCAGCCACCTGAGGAGGCGCCCCAGCCGGGGGGGTCACGGTGTCCAGAGTGAACAGGCCGGACACCGGGTCCCGGGGGAACGTGGACAGGGGGGCACCAGTGGCGGCCTCGGTACAGACAGCATACCGCTCGTGACCAGGGAACGTAGTGGTGACGCCAAGGTCCTGGAGGCAGCCGACACCAACTAGGTTCCTGGAGAACGAGGGGATATGCAGACCTGTGAGAGAGCCCGAAGGAACCGCCGGACAGGGAAGGGTGGTGGAACTGCGGGCGACGACCGGACCGCCGGAGGGGTCAGCAAGAGAGACGGCAGCTGGGACAGGAAGCGGCGTCAGGGTGGTAGAGTCGCGGAAGAAACACCGAGAAGCGCCAGAGTCCAAGGTGAAGGAAAGCGAAGCAGAGGCGTCTGGCAACGGAACAACGGCGGAAGCACCAAGACTACACAAAGCAGGGGATCCTACGCCTGACGCAGCAGGGGAGGCTAAGCTAGGCACACCTACACTAGGCAACAATGAGTAATAAGCGGGAAGCACACTAGAGTCATCAGCATACATCACATGCAGAGCAGCAACTATGGCATCCATGTCGATATCAAAAATCTGAATCTTACGACTAAGCAAACTGTGCCAGTCCGGGAGGTCTGGCGACGGGCCGAAGCGCTGACGAAAGAGGTCATCCAGGCGACGAAAACAGCGGGGAGTGGAGTGACCGAGCCTACCGCAAACGAAACCGCGGCGAGGACCGGTCTGGATCTGGTACTGACAACGCCCGCCACCAGAGCCACCACTCGGCACACCACCACGCGCCTGGCCACCGCTAGCGCCGTGCCACCCGGGCGGGAGGACACTCGTCTGCGGCGGCTGCTGCGGCTGCTGCAACTGCAGGGTCGGCGACTCAGCTGGACTGGGCAAGGTCCCCTCGTCCGCTCCAGCACCAGACGCCCCGACCCCACCACTACCCCCTCCCGCACCCTCGCCGCCGCCGCCGCTGCGCCCAGCCTTGGGGCGGCGGCCCTTCCCCGAACGAAACTGCGCTGCAGCAGCAGTCTCAGCCACTGCGGCAGAGCCGTCGGAGAAGGTACACTGGGCGGGGGCATAACCCTGAAAGATAGGGATCGGCACGATACCGCTCGCCTGGGCGATGGAGCGGTGACGGGTCTCTATCACAGTCAGGGTGTCTACAAAGTCAGTGAGGGAGAGGTCGGCGGGGTGAATGCTAAGGAAGCAGTCGCGGGCGACAGCAAGGCGGTCAGGAAGGCGGGTGGCAAGCAGGTAGAGGGTAGAGGTAATGGGCGGCTGGTGGGCTCTAAGCTGTGCGTCAGTGCAGGCAGCGCGCCAGGTCTCATCTATCGAGCGCAGGTGGGCAGCGAGGTCAGAGACAGTGGGGAAAGACGCAAGGTCAGGAAAGAGCATCGGGAGGATCAGGCGACCCACCGAGGCAGCCGGAGGGGTGGAATAGCGCTGGATGACAGCATCTAAGTATGCCTGAGCAGTGGTGAGAGACCTAAAGCGAGGGCGCTCGGACGGGGGAAGGGCGTTGCTGATGGCAAGCTGTGCGACAGCATCGCGAGAAAGCCAGACAGAGCGCGCACGGGCAGTGGCAGCAGTGGACTCGCGCTCAGTGGGTGTGGAGTCAGCGGGCAGAATAGCAGGGGGGTCTGGGCAGGGGAGCGTACCGTCAAGGTGTGCGGAAAGCGGTTCACCATCCTGCCGCTGGCCAGTGAGTTGGCGACGGAGGTCGGCAAGCCACGCCTCGAACTCGAGAGGCTGGCCTTCAGCGGCGAAGCGAAGCTCCGCCGCCATCAGGAACAATGCAGTGCGGTGCAGGTGTGAGAGTACGACCCCGTTACACCACTTGTCCTATTCTTATCTCCTTCCTATTTCATTCTTCTTTTTATCTCATCTCATTTGGTTTCCTATTCTCCATTCTTCCATTATCTTTTGGTTGATCCTGCTATTCTAATTATATCACCAACCAGGCTTGGGATGTACTGGCACATTATCCAGCGTAATCCTGCCGTAATCCCTTAAAGCCAATAGCCTCGCGTGGCTATACGCAGGGTGATTCTATATTCTAGAAGGGTCTATTCCTTTGGATAGGATAAACCTGGTTACCTGATGTACTCTGGAAGTATAAAAGCACCTTGTACTGATCGATAGGGCAATCGATCCTCGAGTCATTCGATCCTGTGACAGCAGGGCAGTGCAGCAAGGTGGAGTGCGGTGCCGTGCGGTACAGTGCGATGCAGTGCGGTGTAGGGCGGTGCAGTGCGGTGCCAGGCAGTACAGGGTGGTGCGAGGCGGTGCAGTGCGGGGCAGTACGGTGCAGGGCAGTGCAGGGCAGGGGGGGGGGGGAACCGTACCAGTGAGGAGGACCGGGGCCGGGGCAAAGACGAGCGCAGGGGCCGGGCCGGTGCGACGGGGCCGGGCGGGCGCGACGGGGCCGGGCTGGTGCGACGGGGCCGGGCGGGTGCGACGGTGCCGGGCCGGTGCGACGGGGCCGGGCGAGCAGGACGGTGGTCCAGGAGGGGCGCACCGGGGCTGGGCGGGGGCGACGGGGCCGGGCGGGTGCGACAGGGCCGGGCGGTTGCGACAGGGCCGGGCAGGGGGCGACGGGGCCGGGCGAGTGCAACGGGGCCGGGCTGGTGCGACGGGGCCGGGCTGGTGCGACGGGGCCGGGCTGGTGCGACGGGGCCGGGCTGGGGCGACGAGGCCGGGCGAGCGCGACGGGGCCTGAAGGCGTGACGGGGCCCAGGAGGGGGGGGGCTCGACGCGGCCCAGGAGGGGCGCTACGGGGCCCAGGAGGGGCACGACGGGGGCCCAGGAGGGGCGCTACAGGGGCCCAGGAGGGGCGCGACGGGGCCCAGGAGGGGCGCTACGACGCCCAGGAGGGGCGCGACGAGGCCCAGGAGGGGCGCTACGAAGCCCAGGAGGGGCGCGACGGGGCCCAGGAGGGGCGCTACGGGGCCTGGGAGGGGCGCGACGGGGCCTGGGAGGGGCGCTACAAGGCCCAGGAGGGGCGCGACGGGGCCTGGGAGGGGCGCGACGGGGCCCAGGAGGGGCGCTACAGGGCCCAGGGAGGGCGCGACGGGGCCCAGGAGGGGCGCTACGGGGCCCAGGAGGGGCGCGACGGGGCCCAGGAGGGGCGCTACGGAGCCCAGGAGGGGCGCGACGGGGCCAAGGAGGGGCGCTACGGGGCCTGGGAGGGGCGCGACGGGGCCTGGGAGGGGCGCGACGGGGCCCAGGAGGGGCGCTACAGGGCCCAGGAAGGGCGCGACGGGGCCCAGGAGGGGCGCTACGGGGTCTAGGAGGGGCGCGACGGGGCCTGGGAGGGGCGCGACGGGGCCCAGGAGGGGCGCTACAGGGCCCAGGAGGGGCGCGACGGGGCCCAGGAGGGGCGCTACGAGGGGTGAGCGGAAGCGGTAGGTGGGGGGGGGTGGGGGGGGGATCCTACCTACGCGTGATAACATATCAAAATTGAGAAGTGAATAATCGTTAGAGTGAGAGTACACACAGATATATCTAAGTGTTGTACTCTCTAAGAGGCGACCCCTATACAGTCTATACAAACATGACAAATACACATGTTTGACAACATTGCAGCCACGCGGCATGATTGACGGGGGTAAACGTGTCATTTAGCGGTAATCGCGGGGGGCCCCCGAAACACAATTTACTCGGTTTCAGCCTCACCCCCAGGGAGTGCGCTGAAACCTCAGCCTACACTCTAGAAAAAAGGCTGAAAACATCAGACTAGGCTATAAAAAAAAGTCTGAAATTGACAGCCTTACCTATAATAAAAAGTCTTTCAGTTCAGCCTTGGTACAAAAAAAAAGCCTGAAAAAAGGCTGAATCAGCATAAAAAGGCTGATATATAGGGGCCTGCTAATACGTATAAGTTGATAGTTCCTGTAGCTTTTCATTTGCTAGGAACATGGTTGTGTACAAACCTTTATAGATATTACCCTGACTGGCCTTGTGGCCACTTCCCAGTGGCTGGACTGGCTGTGCCTTTCTGGTTTTGCTCTTGCCTTGTCTGTACTCAGTTGACTGGACACTAGACCCGTGCCTCAAAGGCTGGACTAATAGTACCACCCTGCCCTGAGCTGCTTGACTATTATCAAGCACTGCCCCTATCTAATCTAGGGGGTCTGTCAAACATATCCTTGTATGTACCTTAAAGAGTACAACCCACTAGGTTATATTCCCTTGTATGCCATGGTTCTAGTCATTCGTTAACTTTGATACTAGCCCCCTTGTAAAAACGTCCACTGCAGGAAAGTTCGGCTGAGCGAGGTGCAGGAGAGTTCGGCTCCCTGTTACCATTTTTTTAAGCACCTAAAAAAGGACGTCCAGTAAGCTTTTTAGGAGGAGCGAGGTGGAGGAGAGTAGTGTTCCCCATTGCCGATTTTTAGGCGCCTTATAAAGGGACGTCAAGTTAGTCTTTTAGGAAGAGCGAGGTGGAGGAGAGCTGGGCTCCCCGTTGCCGTAGTCTCTTTAGAAGCATATACTCTGCTCCCCATGTGTGCGTTCGTGACCATTTAAACATGTACTGATGAAATGAGAAGTGGGGGGAAGGAAGGGAGGGAGGCGGAAGAGAGGCAGAGTTGGAAAAATGTGACTTGCGTAAGCATCTGCTCTGCTCTTCCCCCCCCCCTCCCCCTCACATTTGTGTTCGAGACCATTTGAACATGCGCTGTTTGCACAAGAAGGGTGGGAAGTGAGATGAGAAGGGAAGGAAGAAAGCGAGATGAGAAGGGAAGGATGAAAGTGAGATGAGAAGGGAAAATTTTGAGAATTCTAAAAAATGACTCCACCACTTCAACATGCACTGTTGGCAACACAAGGGAAGGAAGTGAGATGAGAAGGGCAAAAGGAAAAGGTGATAAGGTTCTTGCACTAGGAAAGGCCAAGTTCGTTTTCATACATTTCACCGCATTAGATCCATCCAGATCCACCTGCACCATCTCCACGTTCTTCTACAGCTGCTCCACAGGGGCGGTCTCGAGGATCGAGCTGACCCCCAATCAAACTCACCAGCATCTCATTTTAACCGCATTAGACCCATTCCAACCCACCTGGACCTTCTCCACTTTCCTCTGCAGCAGCTCCACAGGGGCGGTCTCAAGGCGGTAGCGCATGGAAGCAATGTCGTCGGGATCGATGTTGATGGAGAAGGATGAGTACCCCAGCTCTCCAACATCCGACCGATACCTTGATATATTTCACCGCATTAGACCCATCCGGACTCACCTGGACCTTCTCCACGTTCTTCTGCAGCTGCTCCACAGGGGCGGTCTCGAGGCGGTAGCGCATGGAAGCAATGTCGTCGGGATCAATGTTGATGGAGAAGGATGAGTAGTCCAGCTCATCCTGCCATGGGTTGTCATGCTCTCTGAAGAACGTCACTGGGATGCACCCTGACATCAGCGCCTGGTGTTGTAAGGGGAGAATAGGGGGGAGGGAGGGGAGGGAAGGATGGGTGAAGGGGGAATGAGGACGGTCAGTCGAGCTCGTCCCCCCACAGATTGTCGTGCTCTCTGAAGAGCGTCACTGGGATGCCCGGACATCAGCGCCTGGTGTTGTCAAGGGGCAGAGGGGTGTTGGACGGGCAGAGGGTTTTTGAGGCTACTAAAAAATTGTTGTAAGGAGGCGGAGGGGTGTTGGACGGGCGGAGGGCGGGAGAGTGGGGGGAGGGGAGGTTTAGGGGGGAAGAAAGGGGTGGGGGGGTAGGGGGGAAGAAAGGGGTGGGAGGAGGGGGAGTAAGGTCGAATAGTCGAGCTCGTCCCCCCAGGAGTTGTCATGCTCTTTAAGAAGGTCACTGGGATGCCACTGGGATAAGAGCGCCTGTTGAGAGGGGAACATGGGAAAAAACGGCTGGGGGGAAGGGGGAGAAGAAGGGGGGAAAGTAGGGTGAATGGGGGAATGAGGAGTGGTCGATCTCGTCCCCCCACGGTTTGCCGTGCTCTCTGTCTAAACAATGTCACTGGGATGCGCCCTGAGAGGACTCCTCTCAGGGGAGAAGCATCTCAAAACTAACCACCCCCTGAGAGAACTGCCCTGAGAGAACTGCCTGGTGTTGACATGGGGAGGAGGGGGGACCAGGCCGGGATGCATCAATTATCTCTAGAAAATGCTTCCCACCATGAAAGTGGCTATTTCCTGAAAGCTCTCATCACCTTGAACGGGCGGCTGGTCTACTGGGAGTGTTCCCAGGGGGCAGATGCAGATGAGGGGATTTGCTTCATGCCTTGGCTGGTCGCGGCATGCCTACTATGGTTGCAAGTGGCTATTTCTGAGTCGATTATAAAACCATCGACGAAAAAATCACCAACTCAAGAGTTCACTAAAAAATGGGCGGCTAAGAAATCGTCGACTATTTTTTTTTTGGCTAAGAAATCGTCGACTAAAAAGTAACCTGGGGGATTCGATTCATGCCTTGGCTGATTATGGGGTGCCTTTTAAGGCGCTGTAAAAAAAACTATGGCTGAAAGTGGCTATTTCTTGTAAGCTCTCATCACCTTGAATGGGCGGCTGGTCCACTGGGAGTGCCCCGGCGGGCAGATGCAGAAGACGCCCTTCTGCCACTCCTTGTTGGTTGCATTCTCGCCCTTTGCTGCGAAGCTCCACCCTCTGACTCGCTGCGGCTTGTACATCTGGGTGGGTGCGATAGCATGGAACACGGGGAGAGAGGAAGTGAGGAGACTCTCTAGCTGCCTCTTTCTTCCCCCACTCTCTCGTCCTTGTTGGCTCCATTCTCGCTGTTGGCTGCAAAGCTCCACCCGTTGACGTGCTGCGGCTTGTACATGTGGTTACAGGATGGGGTAAAGATGTTCAGCTCTAGCCTCTAGCTGTTTCTGCTGCCACTCCTTGCCGCTTTGCGTTCTCGCCCTTGGCTGCGAAGCTCCACCCGTTGACGCGCTGCGGCTTGTACATCTGGGTGGGTGCGTGGATTGGAGATGCAGAACAAGAGGCAGTAAGGGGCTGCTCTAGCTGTCGCTTCTCACCCGCTGGCACGCTGCGGCTTGTACATCTGGATTGGAGATGCAGGGCCACAGTGGAGCGGTTTGCAAGAATGAGAGACCTTCAGGGCACCACTCGCTCGGCATGTTCTCGCTTCTAAAGTTGATTTACGATGGAGGGAGCACAGCAGAGAGTCAGTGTCCCGCACTCCGTTCCACGCATGAGAGAAAAAGAGAAGAAAAGGTGTGAAATAGCGTGTCACCCGCAAGGAGATCCACTGGTCCCTTCCCCCCTTACCACACCCGCTCCCCAAACCGTAAACCCAAACCCATCTCGCTCATTTCCCAAACCCGAAACCTTGAACCCTCTCCCCCCCTACATACATCAAGAAGCTCTTTCCTGAGGTTGTGCCCGTGGTGCACCAGGGGCGCCTTGTGGCCTTGCTCCGCTGAAAAGCGGAATATGGCTCGCATGCGGCGATCACCTGAGAATGGAGATGCAAAGGGCACCTGCAAGGGGGTGGAGGGGAGGGGGGTGAGGAGGAGAGAAGGAAACGAGTTGAGAAGCGGAATATGGCTCGCATCATGTGTGGCGATCACCCGAGAATGGTGATGCCATGGGGACCTGGGGAGGGAGAGGCGGTGGAGAATGGCGAGAAGAGGAGGGAAGGGGAGGACGAGAGAACTCTAGTCCCTCTGCACCTCTAGTCCCTCTGCACCTCTAGGCCCTCTGCACCTCTAGGCCCTCTGCACCTCTAGGCCCTCTGCTCCTCTAGGCCCTCTGCACCTCTAGGCCCTCTGCACCTCTAGGCCCTCTGCACCTCTAGGCCCTCTGCACCTCTAGGCCCTCTGCACCTCTAGTCCCTCTGCACCCACCTAGACGCCTCTGCACCCATCTAGTCGCCTCTGCACCCTTCCAAGCCCACCTGGTCGCCAACGAAGGCGGGCACAACGATGTCTCGGTCGGGCATGTAGCAGGGGATGTCTGGGAACTGCGTCTGAACCTCCATGTTGTACGAATAGCCTATGATCTGTGGGGGGGAGGGAGAGAGGTAGGAGGGGAGGAGTCTTTTTTTGGGGCACGTAAAAACTAGACTCGAGGCGCATGGAAATTAGATTCGGTCTGGCATGTAGCAGGGGATGTCTGGGAACTGCGTCCGAACCTCCGTGTTGTACGGATACCCTATGATCTGATGGGGGGGGGAAGAGGGGAGGTAGGAGACACAGGAGTCTTTTTTGAAGGGGGAGATCGGATGGTAGAGGAGGGGGGATTGGGTTGGGCGGTGGAGGGGGGAAGGAAATGCGTATGCTGGGACCTGTGGGACCTGTGGGACCTGTGGGACCTGTGGGACTCGTGGGCCCTCTCCTGCGTGCACCTCCTGCATGCGTGCATGCGCACGACGTAAAAAGGAGGAAATTTGGGTGGTGCGGAAGGGGAGGGTTCAGATGGAGCGGGAGGGGTGGGTGGGGGAGGGAGAGGGAACGGGAGAAAGAAGGGGGGTGGGGATGGGGGGGGGGGGGGGGGAGGGGGGAGGGAAAGGGGGGGGGAAGGGAGTCCCTTCAAGGGACATGCTGTGCTGACTGACTGATCTGCATGTTTGTCTTCAACGGACGAGTGCATGGTCCGCTCGAGGCGGTCGCCGCTGAGCATGACAAAGACATGTACATGTGCATATGTGCATATGTACGGCGACATCACGGAGACCATGTCGCCGTACAGGTCGGAGTCCACCCCCGTGGTGAGGGTTTCCCAGGTAAGGGTTTACAGGTCGGGGTCCACCCCCGTGAACAGACGAAAAGGAGGGGATTCAGGGGGAGGGCGGAGTGGGGGGGGAGAAGAGGGAGTGGGGGAGGAGAGGCGGAGATGGGGGTGGGAAAGGGGGGGGGTGGAAAGGGGGGGGTGAGCGGGGGGGCGAGGGGAGGGTGAGGAAAGCAGATTCACGCACCTGCATGTTTCGCTCAACGGACGAGTGCATGGTGCGCGCGAGGCGGTCGCCGTTGAGCATCACAAAGAACATGTCGCCGTACAGGTCGGGTTCCACCCACGGCAGCGCGTGGCAACGGCCGTGATCGTACGTGATCGTGCTGAAGTGATCTCGGCCGTTGGTGCGGTTGAAGTAGGGGAAGTCGTGGCGAATCATAGTTAGTATCTGGAACCACGCCTGGGAAAAAAGGGGAGGGAGGAGAGGAGAGAGCAGGGCGAGTGGGAAGAGGAAGAGAGACTCAAAGGTTCAAGTAGAGGAAGTCATGGCGTATTATCGTTTTGAGGCGGCTCAAAACAAGTCATGGCGTATTATCGTTTTGAGGCGGCTCAAAACAAGTCATGGCGTATTATCGTCAGTATCTGGAACCACGCCTGGGGGGAAGGGGAAGGAGGAGAGGCGAGAGCAGGGCGGGTGGAAGGCGGAAGGGAGAGGACGCTTTTGAGTCTGATGGGAGACTCAAAGGTTCAAGTAGCGGAAGTCGTGGCGTATCATTGTGATTGTGAGGATCTGGAACCGCGGCCTGGGGAAAAAGGGGAGGGAAGTGGGAAAGAGGGGGAAAGAGCGGGATATTCTATAGAGGGGAGTGTGTCGGGCCTCATGTTTCTTAGACCAACAGCAAGCGAGACTTAAGTCTTCTATTCGCCAGCAGTTAGGTCCCCACCTTAGACACCTCCCCGACCGCCGAGTGCATCATGCTTTCCTGCAACTGGTTCGACGATATAAGCTGACTCGATACAAGCTGACTCGATATAAGCTGACTCGATATGATACTCACCTTAGACACCTCTCCGACCGCCTTGTGCATCATGTTCTTCTGCAGCTTGTTCACGTGCGCGATGTGGCTCGACGAATAGTACGGCAGGTAAAACAGCGTCGCCTTTTCTGGTTCCGTCGTCCGAATCGCGTTACTCCGCAGAATTAACTCCGTCAGGACCGATTCCACGTCATATTGGTCCGAGTACCACTCCTTCGAGTGCCCCTTGAGATTCTCCGTCCACGCCCATTGCGTGTCGTACACGTAAATAAACGGCCGCGTGTCGTCTGCTTTGTCCGACTCGGAATTTGGCGCGCCGCCGTCGCTTGCGCCGGAAAACGCGGCGACGGATCCGATCGTCGCGGCGGGAGGACCCTCCGGGATTCCCGCAGCGGGGGGAACGGCGGCGGCGGTGGCGGCGGTGGCGGAGATTCCATGGTTTTCTAGAGCGCGCCTCGTGCTAGCGAGGTCTCCCGCTAGAGAAGCTGCGGAAGCGGCGGCGGCGGCGGGAAGGTCGGGATTCTCTAGGTGCGGACAGGAGCAGTTAGGATCATCCTGCGATCGCTGCTGCAAAAATGAGCTACATAGAACGGAGATTAATATGAGCGACACGACGGCCACTAGGGCGAAGAGGTTCGGAACGCGCTTCGGACTTAGCTGCTGCTGCATCTTAGCGGCTTGTAGTTGGATCTTAGAGACATCCAGAACTAGTATCTCCCGCAAGAGCATGACGGCCGGACAATCGCGAGAGTAAAGAATGCCTCAAGAAGTGACGGTAGGGGGGAAGTCTCTCGGGTTTTACGAGCGCCGTAAAGTCACTCAAATGGGAGATGCACTAGGTTGACGCTGAAACTAACTCCGATGTTGCTGCTGTCGCTGTTAGCTGGACCGTGTACAGCTGGCCGCTCATCCAGCGAGGAGCTATGGTGCTAACTAGACGACTCGAGTGAGCACTCGGTCGGGAGTGAGTGTGCATGCATTCGTTGCGTGATGAGGACAATTGGCTGCGCTCTTAGAACAACCAGCAGAAGTGAGCAGCCGCCATAGATTTGTTGGGTGGCTCAAGCGGCAGTGTGATTTGGTGGTTCGGCTCGGGTTCGGCCATTGGTTGCTTCGGTTAGTTGAGAGGCTGGTTTGGTATGGTTTGGTGCCACCTTGTTATCCCGAGTAGGCTTAGGTGAACATCTCTCGTTGACCCTGGTAGTTGTGAACGTCGCTCACAGGTTCACGACGAACAACGGACAGCTTTGTCTGTTCGAAACGAACATTTCGGTTCTTGTCTTCAGGCGAATTTGGACACCTTTTGTTCCTCCTGGGTCCCGACCCCTACGTGGTACAGTACAGTGCCTGTTTGACAATTCAGGAGCGTATGCTCTCGAATAATCCTGAATCCTGAGTGTACAAATGGGACATCCCCTTCACTAAATTTCCCTATTCCCATCACTCTCCCTCCCTTTAGTAATCAATTGCAATCCAGAGAAACCAGCCGACTACGATGCTTAACAGAACGGGGTCATATATCCCTGGTAGAGTCGTGGTGCCCTAACGCGGGTAGCTCCCATCTCGTCCGTCGGACACATCGATCAGCACTGCAACGATCGTCAGACGTACACTCTCGAATTCTGAAACAGACGAGCATCCCGACTTTCCGGATTTGAGGGGCGGTTAATGTAGATATTTCTCCAGCCAAAGTGATCATGCGAGGGATTTCATCGAGCTCGCACCCAATAAGAAGAAAAACTATTTTCCCGTTAGAGCTTTGAAAAAGAGTTACCTAAAATAGTTTATGATCTAAACGTCTGATTCATTAAAAGAATCACGCCCTGAGAGTCTTGCGTTGTATCTGCAGGATGACACGGCGCAGGGATTTGCCCCGGCCTTGTTCGCTAGGGTCTTGTTCCCTGCTAGTTCTAGCCAAGATTTTTTCGCCGCAACTGGGACCTTAGGTTGGGTTTAGGCTCGCGTACCCAGCTTGAGCCTCGTTTTGGGGGAGCCAGCCAGCGAGGTATGGATCGAACCAGAGGACCTTGTTTGGGCGCAAGAGCTAGAGTTCCCTTCCCCCCTTGTGCAAACGCAATCCCACTTAACAGTTATTTCCACGTTTTTCCTAGGGAAACCTGATCCCCTCGTTAACCCACGTCAGGGGATGGTCTGCAAACCCCACAAGCTCGGAACAGCCGATGGGCAACCAAAGTGGAGGTATTAAAAGTGTTCCCCTCCACGTTTTGGATACCTCAAATCCATTGCGTCAGTTTCCTCGTCAGCGTTTGGAAGCTGCGCGTGGCCCTCTTGTGCCACTGCTGCCCGCTGACATCACAATGTCAACGGTCACGTGGCAGGTTTGTCGTGATTTCCTCTAAATTCATTTCCTGTCAGCTACAGTAACTTCCGTTTCCACTGTGCGTCCCCTCCTGGTTCTGAGCACGGCTGCGCTGGCGAACAGGGCCTCTGAGATGCTCCTCCAAAGCCCAAGCCTACGCAGCCCACCTGCAGCGACACCTGCACCCCCAACTGTACACTTCCCGCATCTTTGTTTGGGGTCGCTTCGTGTCGCAAGTGATTGGTTTGGGGAGGTACGTACGAACCACGTCAGACCAGGGCCAGGCCTGTCGTTTGGTTCCAAACCAGGCCTCTTCAGCGCGAACCAACAAACACAAACATGGAACCGGAGCCTCGGGCAAGGACCTTGGCGTGAGCGCCTGAACTTCTGGTCTGGTCTGGAGGCTCCTTGACGAACAACGCCCCCCACCTATGAGCCCTGTTGGTTGGTGTCTTTCCGCACCCATTCTGCTCGTTCACTAATTTAGGCACAGGACCAGCCAGCCGTTTCCAGCGATACTGTACAGCCACAATGCAAAACAGCTGTCTCAACCCCATGACGAGTGCTCTGTCCACCCACCCAGTGAAGTAAAAAACACTCGTCTCTCGGAATTCCACGGGCCACCTACTAAACGTGAAGTGAATGCTCGGAACGCGGCGCTGGGCTTGAGAGCAAGCAGTAGCAGTGGATAAAACTCCAGGTCTAAGAGGGGCCTCGAGTATTAAATATCAGCATAAATAATCACCTGTTTGAATAAGTCCGCATTTTGCTGTTTGCAACCCACAGCATGTCATTCAGCCCCGTTGCGCCGGACGCGGCGTTATTAGCTCCTTTTAAGAGCCTCTCGAATCGCCTCGCTGTCGTTCTCCTTGCGACTATCGGCCTTGTCGCAACCCTCTGCCTCTTCCATCGCGAGCAGCCGCCCTGTCCGTGCGATAATGACGTCAGCACAGGCGCCAGTGCTGCCGTCACCCTCGCCGCAGGCCCCGGCAACAATTTCCCCGTTAGTGAACTCTCCGCTGCTAGAGTTAAGTGTCCCTCGGTCGGCGGCGCTGCTCCGATTCGGCCTATAGAAAACGGGGCGAATCCTTCCAACGTGTACGCGCGGTTGCCGACTAGTCCTGCTGACACATTTAATCCGCTTCTCGCGGCGGCTGCTGCGGAAGAGAAGAAGCCGTTCATCTACGTGTACGATTTCGGCCCCAACTGTACGGATGTCGTCTCAGGGATGGACGTTCCGCCGTACGCGTTACATTTCGACCTCGAACGGAAATTGACGGAGCAGATATTGTCAGACGCCGGTGGGGTTCGAACCCGCGATCCGAAACAGGCTCGTCTTTTCTTCGTGCCCTTCTATTCGTCGCGGCTGCTACAGTACTATCTGAGCGGTTCGAAAGGAGGTTCGGACATGCGCGACGCGGTGGAAAAGGTTTCGACGATCTGGACGGCCCTGATGAACAGGGTCCGGCGCGAGCCGCACTTTTACCGATCCAACGGCCGAGATCATTTCTCGATATTGTCGACGCGGAACGGCAGATGCGACGCGCTGACTTACGTGAACCCCGGGGTGCTCGGCGAGATGTTCTTCGTGACTTATAACGGGGACACTCTCGTGCGGAGCGTGCACACGGGATGGACTCCGGATATGCGGGTAGGTGCTTACTACCTGAACTTTACATCAGCACCAGAATCGAGGTCCTTGAAGAGTGCTTGAGAACTCTGCTTTCCCCCTTCAGAATCCCCTTCCCAGACCACCCCGCCCCCCCGCCCCACCTTACCTTCCCCCGCCTCCCCTCCTAAACGTCTCTCCCCCCCCCCCCCCCCCCCCCCCCCCCCCCACCGCCCCACTCCTTCCAAACTCCCCCTTTTCGCGCCTGCAGGTCTTGTCGTACAACTACGGCGCGCCTCTGAACGTCTCTATTCCAGACATTGCTTGCTACTCACCCGGCCGTGACGTGGTGGTGCCGCCGCTGCTGACTCAGCCACACGTCATCCCTCCATCAAACGCACGTGCTGCCGCCGCTGCTGCTGTTCCTGATGCTTCTGGTACTGACGGTGCTGCAGGCGGTGCGGCTGCAGGGGATGGCTCAGGTGCCCCGTCAGGTGTTTTATCAGGTGCTGCTGCTGCTGCTGCTGCTGCTGACGCATCCGCCTATGGCGGTCGCGCCATCCGCGTGCTGATGGTAACGTCAGCTTCGAACTTTGCTGAGGCGCGCAGCAGCAGGGTGAATGAGCGCATGCACCACAACCGCGCCGTGGAGCGCTGGCTGCTAGAGGTGAGGGGGGAGGGGGTTGGGGGTGGGGATAGGGGGAAATGGGGGAGCGGGGGAACGAGCAGCTGCCTGGGTGGCTGAGCGCATGCACCACAACCGCGCCGTGAAGCGCTGGCTGCTAGAGGCGAGAGAGGGGTGATATAGGTGAGGGGGAGCGGGAGATAGAGGTGAGAAGGGGATTGGAGGAGTGTGGGGGAATCGGTGATTGAGGGCGTGCCTGAGTGCATGCATGCACCACAACCACGTGGTGGAGCCATGGCTGATAGAGGCGAGAGGTGGGTGATATGGGTGAGAAGTGGGTGATAGAGGTGCGTGTGGGGGAGTCGGGGATTGAGGGCGTGCCTGAGTGCATGCATGCACCAACACCCCGCGGTGGAGCGATGGCTGATGGACGTGCGTGACAGGGATTGGGGGAGTGCGGGAACGGGGGAAATGGGGGAAATGGGGGAAAGGGGGAAAGGGGGTAAGGGGGGATGTGCGAGCAGCAGCAGGGTGGCTGAGTGCATGCACCATCACAAAGTTTGACTTTACGTTACTGAAAAACGTGATTGACCATCTTAGATGCACCACAACGAACCACACGGTGGAGCGGTGGCTGATAGAGGTGGGCGAATGGGATAGGGGGAGTGCGGGGGAGGGGATAAGGGAATGGGGGAATGGGAGATTGAGGTAGGAATGGTGACTGAGAGTCAGCTCATGCATGCATGCACCACAAACAACCACACAGTGGAGCGGTGGCTGATAGAGGTGAGACGTGGATGAGAACGCATGCAGTATAACCTTATCAATAACCACAATCATAACCATAATAACCATAACCTTATCTATAACTGCTGTTATAACCAAAACCTTATTTATAACCACATTCATAACCATAACCATGAGGCTGGGGGAGTCACCCGAGGGGCCCATTTTTCCATGCCTCGCCCTCTTGCTTTTCCATGCCTCGCCCTCCTTTCTTTTCTCACGCTCTGCCCTCCTTTCTCCTCAACAGCCCCTCCCACCTCCCTCCCCCTCTCCCTCCCTCCCTCCCCCTCTCCCTCCCTCCCTCCCCCTCCCCCCACCTCCCCCCCCCCCAGCTCTATGCGTCCAATGCCTCAGCCATTGATGGCTGGACGGTGGTGTTCAGAGGCGGCAGTGAGCAGGCTGGGGAGCTCAGGAGGGGTTCCTTTTCCCTGAACTTCCATTTACCCCTCTTCCCCCCCCCCCCCCGCTCTCACAGCTCTATGCGTCTAATGCTTCAGCCGTCGACTGCTAGACGGTGGTGTTCCGACGCGACGACGAGGAGAGGAGGCTGAGGAGTTCAAGGGGGATTCCGTTTTCCTTAACTTCCATTTATCTCCCCCCCCCTCTCTCCCCCCTCCCCCCTCCTCCTCTCACAGCTCTATGCGTCCAATGCTTCAGCCCTTGATGGCTGGACGGTGGTGTTCCGAGGCGACAACAAGGAGGCGTGGGGGGAAGTCAGGGGGGTTCCCTTTCCTCTAAAACTTCCCCTTATTCCCCAACCCCTCCCGCCCCCCTCTCCACTCCCCCCCAGCTCTATGTGTCCAATGCGTCAGCCATTGACGGCTGGACGGTGGTGTTCAGAGGCGACAACGAGGAGGCATGGGGGGTCAGGGGGGATGTGGCTGAGATCACTGCTGCTGGTGATGCTGCTGGTGATGCTGCTGCTGCTGCTGTCGGTGGCGCTGCTGCTGCAGCAGCTGCTGCTGCAGCAGCTGCTACTGGTGACAATAGCGAGTGGAGCAACAGTGCCTTCTGTATTGTCACTCCTGGTCGAGCTCAGTGGACGCCCCATCTTACCAAGGTACGCTGTTCATGCCCCCCCATCCCTCCCCCCTCCCCCCAAAAAAAAATTCCTCGTGAGGGTAGGCGTGCTCAAAACCAGGGGTTTTGCTCTTTTTGAAACCACCAAAAGGTCTGATGCTCCTTTGTGAGGGTAGGCGTGCTCAAAACCCCTGGCTGTCTATTCTCACCTACTCTCCCATCTCCCCCCCTTCCCCTTCACCCCACTTCCCCCTCCCCCACTCTCCGCCCCTCTTAGGCCATTCTCTCTGGGTGCATCCCAGTCACCTTTTACCGCGCCAACCAAAGCCCCAGGAGCGCCACCCTCAACTACCCCATCTTCTCCCCCTTTCCTCCCGTCACCCTCCCCCTCCGCTCAACCACCCTCTTCCCCCCAGGCAATTCTCTCAGGGTGCATCCCAGTCACCTTTTACCGCGCCAACCAAAGCCCCTGGAGCGCCACCCTCAACTACCCCATCTTCTCCCCCTTTCCTCCCGTCACCCTCCCCCTCCGCTCAACCACCCTCTTCCCCCCAGGCAATAATCTCAGGGTGCATCCAGTCACCTTTTACTGCGCCAACCTGGGGCTCTGCTCTCAGCTGCCCCCTCTTCCCCCCTTTCCCCCCCTCTTCCCCTTATCTGCGTCATCCCCCGCACAGGCCATTCTCTCAGGGTGCATCCCAGTCACCTTTTACCGCGCCAACCAAAGCCCCTGGGGCGCGTCCCTCAACTACCCCGTCTTCTCTCTCAACATCGACCCCGCTGCCCTCGACTCTCTGCCGCGGCGGATCGCAGAGGCGTTCAGTCAACCGGGGCTCGTGGCCCGGCTGCAGCACAACCTGGCGCTCGTGCAGGTGAGACTGGGGCAGGAGAGACTGGGGCAGGTGAGACTGGGACAGGTGGGACTGGGGCAAGTGGCACTGGGACAGGAGAGACTGGGGCAGGTGGGACTGGGCCGGGGAGGTGAGACTGGGGCAGGTGAGACGTGGGCAGGTGGGACTGGGCCGGGGAGGTGAGACTGGGGCAGGTGAGACTGGGGCAGGTGGGACTGGGCCGGGGAGGGGAGACTGGGGCAGGTGGGACTGGGGCAGGTGGGACTGGGGCAGGTGGGACTGGGGCAGGTGGGACTGGGGCAGGTGGGACTGGAGCAGGTGTACCGTGTAACTGAGGTAGGTGTGAGTGACAAGGGGGGCCAGGCTGCAGCACAACCTGGCGCTCGTGCAGGTGCGACTGGGGCAGGTAAGTAAGAGCGGAGAGCAGCCACAACCCCTGGGGGCGTCGCTCAACTACCCGGTCTTGTCTCTCAATGTGGACCCTGCTGCCCCCGACTCTCCGCCTCAGCGGGTTGCAGAGGCGATCCACCAGCCAGGCCTCGTGGCGATCCTTGGGTGGTGCTTCAGGCAATGCTGCAGTGGCACGACTCCCTAGACCAGGGGGCAGGGGCGGGTCTGCTACCACCTACCTCACGGCAGCATCCGCTCCCCCTCTCTGGCAATGTTCAATCCGTGTGCTCCTTGCCGTGGTTTCTTGTTGCTCCGCAGGCAATGTTTCAGTGGCGCGACTCCCTAGATCAGGGGGCTGGGGCAGTGCTGATGAGCAAGCTGAGGAAGGTTGCAGCAGCAGCACAATCACAGCCTCTGGACGAGCAGATAGTGCTGCCACAGGCTGGTGCCTGAGCAGTGATAGGACCAAAGCAGCACGACGAAATTGTTTTTAGAGGCGCCTAAAGCGCAGCAGAGCAACCACAGCTTCTGGACGAGCGGATAGTGCTGCTACAGGCTGGTGCCTGAGCAATGATACGTAGGACCAAAGCAGCACAGTGAAATTGATTTTTGAGGCGCCTAAAGTGCAGCAGCGCAACCACAGCTTCTGGACCTACAGATAGTGCTGCCACAGGCAGGTGCCTGGTGTGAAACTAGCGAGAGAAAAGTTGACTAGATAGTGGGGAGGGAAGATACAAGTAGACTTATCCCCTCTAAGGGCTGATCTGAATAGGCTAAATATACCAAGCATATCTACTCTAACTCGATCTGTATATAATGCAATATATGTTTGTTGACACTGTTAGAATACAAGAATTAATAAAAGCAAGTGAGAACAAGGGAGATAAAGGGTTAGCATTGTACCCTCTAAGAACATACACCTATCTAGCCTAAAACTTCTACATACAAACATATGTATAAGTCGACACAACCCCTAGGCTAGATAAGTGGTAGTGCTGAGCAAGAAACACGCACCTCAGGGTGCAGGGCTGATTTTATCAGACTATTTTAGTCTGATTGTCTGAAATTTCAGACCCATTTTTTGCCAATCCTGATTTTTTCAGACTTAGGCTTTTCTGGATACTGAACCCTTCAGAGTTGTATGATTTTGGATCCTGAAGTTTTCAGAGTAGTCGTTGTGCGGATACTGAGGTTTCAGAGTACATCGCGTATGGACTCTGAATGCAACATCCATGCACCTTGTACTTTCCCTGAGATTTCCTCTACTACGTCATATGCTGTCTTCCATCATTTCACCCCCGCACGTCTCACGTGCAGTATCTGCACTTGGCAGGATTCCCGCCCCTTCTGTGACTATCATGCTGCCTCAACAGGGACTTTGCCGCTTAGCGCGTCATGCATCCTGCCAGGCGTGCCTGCTAAGGACCTCTACGTGGGTGTGTTGGAAGCCATCAAAGGTTGGTAACGCGGGAAACTTGCCCTCGCTGGCATGTGCAAAACTGTCCGACCGACCGTGATTGGCGACAGTCCATGCCAACACATGGTTCGTTCGTAACGTCAGCTCATGTTTGGCATGGCGGCGCGGGTTTGGTAGGGGCTGCCATCCAGAAGCTGACGACGAGGGTTAACCAAGAAACACGCGCCTCGGGCTTGATGGTGCCCTTCTTCTTCGTCCCTCTCATCCCCCCCCCTCCTCTCAGGCGCACTCAGGCTTTTACACGGGGTCTGTAAATCTTACTCCTCAATTCGTGTTTCGGAGTTGTCCTCCTCACGTAGGTTCTCGTTTGTCGACTCCGTCAACAACCATGACTCCTGCAGAAGAAGACGATGAGCCCAGCGCCGATGAACCACCTCATAGTAACGAGCCTGCAGAGGTTCGTCGCTCCGCGATAGACATACTGCGGTTGTTAGGTTCTCCTCCCGTCGTTGCTGTTGTGGTTTCCTCCGCAGCAGAGGAAACCCAGCCTGCTCTAAACCCACCTCCGTCCGCGCCCTTCGTGCCACCACCATATGTCCCTCCGCCTGCCGTCGCCTCATCCAGCAGAGACCCGACTCTGCCCGTGAACTGCGTCACCGCCACCACAGTCCACTACAGCGTGCTCAGCGCGTTCACGATTTCGTCTGCGAAGAAACAACGGACGGCCAAGTCTCAAATCATGATCGGAGGTAGGCTCCGCCGCCATCACCTAGTGCAGTCCCTGTCGTCGTTGAACTGCCACCGCCCAAGCTGAGTAAGAAGGAATTGATTGAGCAGAAATACCTCGTCGCTCAAGCAAAGTACAAAACTTCATGGCTGCCTTTCCTTCCATGGCTACTGCTAACTAAAACAAAGGACGGTTACCCTGCTCTCAAGTGCAATGTCTGCATGACGTTTGGCAAGGAGACCACCAAGTACAGCTCTTCGGGCGATGGTGGCCGAGACCTTCAGACACAGACCATGCGCATACACGAACACTCTTCTGCACACAAGGAAGATGTGGAGGCCCAGCTGAAGATTGCCGACGGGCAAAAGAGGATTGACGAATATTTGTCGTCGGATGTCGAGGGGAGGCGGGTCGTGCGACTGCTCCGCGCTGTTGAGTTTCTCTGTAAGGTCGATGCTCCCATCAGCATGTTTCCTTGGCTATGTCGCTTTATGGCTGAGCAGGACACCCCAGACCTACCGCTCCAGTCTTACGGTGTTTACCTCACTCGGTAAGTACCCGCGAGTACATTCCATTACTCTGCCCCGTAGGATTATTTTAACAATTACTCTCTCTTCTGCGTGCAGGTACAGCTTTCAACAGATGGTCCACTGCCTAGCAACTCTTCTTCAACGGACCCAGATGCAGCACATTCAATCGTCCCCATTCATCGGCATCAGTTGCGATGAGAGCACTGATCGTACCAGAGGGAAGCACCTGATAGTGTACCTCACGTTCCTGCGCCATCGCCGCGTCGTCACCAAATTTTTCTCGTTGCTCACCGTTGAGAAGTGCGACACCACCTCCCTGCTCTCCGTGCTCCACACTCGTCTTCAAGGCGCCGGCATCGAACTCAACCGCATCGCGGGAATCAGCACCGATGGTGCTTCCGTCATGGTTGGGCGCGAGAACGGTCTCGTGGCGCGGCTCCGCGAGCATCGCCCACCGGTATACACTCATTATGTTATGTTCTCGCTTTATTTTAATCGTTTACTAATTTGTTTCTATGGATTGTGCGCAGGGAAGCTCTGGCTGTGAAGGACGCCGCGTCTGCCTGTCCAGACTTGGACATGGTCGACAAGGTCATCCGAACTCTGGCCGATCTCCTCGGCCATTCAAGCGTGTGGAGCCAGCGGTTCAAGTACCTGCAGCGTGTCATCCACAAGACCAACCTTGAAGTTCAAGGAATCCACGCGATCCGGTGGCTGTCTAGAGGCGAGGCAGTCAGACGCCTCTGTAAGGTCCTCGGTGCTGCCATCGTTTTACTGTATGAGTATAACCATGAGATGTGCGAGGTTGTCATCTCATACAAGTTTCAGTTTTGTCTCTTCTTCCTGGCGGACGTCCTCGCCATCATGAACGAGCTCAACCTCAAGTTTCATAAGTGAGAGGTGAGCCCTTGCATGTGAGCTTGTGGTATGTTCTTTCACAATCAGCACTAACATTCTGCCCCTTGTTTTGCGCCCCTATGTTTCCACCACCCCACCCCCCCTCCCCGCCCGACCGCAGGTGGATGTCACCGAGATAACACAGGACGTCGACGAGGCGGTGGGGGATCTTCGGCACCGCTACTTGGAGTGCGGCGGGGTTTTCGGTGCGGGCGTAAGCGGCACGTGGCTGTCGGCTTTCTTAACCGTGTACGGCGAGGGGGGGCAAAGAGAGTGAAGGTGCGCGGCATCGACAAGGATGGACAGCCGGTGACGCACACGTACCAGATGCACGAGCGGCAGATCAAGGGGAACGTCTACCAGAGCAACTACCGGGACTGCGGACTATTGTGCGCGAAGTTCGCGAGGGGGAGCATGACGAACCTGCTGGAGCGGCAGGACGACCTGTCGGGTGGGCAAGTGGTCGCGGCTTCGGATGGTGAGGGAGAAGAAGACGAGGGAGTATCTCCATGGCTGCAGTGCTATCTTCGACGACAGGCTCCCCGGGTTCGATTTGAAGGAGGCGGAGAAGGAGCTGGCAACTTGGGCCCCGACCATTCTCAATTGTGGAGTGCGAGCGTGGTTTTTCTAGGCAGAATGTGATCAAGTCTTGGGTCCGTGGTGCTCTGTGCAATGCCCGCCTAGGTGAGCTGATGATGATTTCGCTACTGAGATACGACATCAAGTGGCAGGAGGCGCTGGAGCTGTGGCACGCAAAGAAGAGAAGACCAGCGAAGTCGGTGGTGTTCGCATCACAAGAGTGGAAGCGCAAAGGCAAGGCTCTGCTGGAAGAGGCAGAGCAGGATTCTCCACTGCCAGACTACTAAGGAGAGGATTGGGATGAGGAGGAGGAGGAGAAGGAGGGGGAGAGGGATGGTGGACGTGCAGCAGCTATAGAAGACAACCCCTTTTTGTCGGATGATGAGGCGGAGGATGTCGGCGTTGTGGATGTGCCACAGTTCTAGCTAGGCTAGGAAATTAGACTAGGTGCTGGTTAACTGCCCGAATGTTATAAAATAATAGCGAGTAAATGGTGAAATCATGACTCTGATTAATACTTGCGAACCTTGAAGAAATCAGGCTTGAGAGTCACTGGATCCTGAGAAATCAGACTATCATGGAATCTGAAACCTGGCTATTCAGACTTCAGAAAAAATTTTGGGGCGAAAATCAGAGTGGGTTTTTTTGAAACGTCAGCCCTGTCAGGGTGGCACTACTAGTCCAACCTCTGAGGCAAGGGTCCAAAGACCAGTTAGCAAGGGTACAAATAAGACAAGAGGAAACCAGGGCAGCACTACTAGGCCGGCCACTGGAAGAGAAGCTAAAAGGCCAGTCTGGAAGGTATAAAGATAAAGGAGTACACAATCAAGGTCCTAGCAAGTGAGAGTCTACAGGAACTACACCAAGCTGCAAGCAGTGCCGCTGATGATCTTTAGACGCAAGCGCCTTAGTAAAGATATCAGCTGTGTTGGCACCGGAGGCCAAATGTACTACGCGGGCCTGGCTACGCTGCTGTAGCTTGCGCAGGAGGAAGTACCACAGCTGGATGTGCTTTGCTCTGCCCTCAAGTCAAGGCTCCTGGCACACGAGGACCATGGCCCTGTTGTCAGCGCACTGAACCGGAGCAGAGCTAGGCCGCTCACCTAGGTCGGGGAGCAAGAAGGTCAGCCAGCGGAACTACTGTGCCGCCATGGCACCGGCGTAGATCTCAGCCTTACAGCTAGACTGGGCAACAGACGAGGAGCGAGTCGACCTCCACGAGATGGCACCCGAACCAAGGCTAAAGAAGTAGCCCTGGGAGGACCTGAGGGTCTCAACGTCGTCTGCCCAAGAAGCGTCTGTGTGTTCAGTAAGGACCATTGGCCTACGTCCTCCCAGCACTAGCCTCATGCCTGATGTACTTGCTAGATAACGCAAAACCCTCGTAGCGACCGACCAGTGCTATGGTCGGTGTCTGCTTGTGGCCACAAAGCGAGCCAAGATGCAGAGAGGGTATGTGAGATCTGGACGAGTGCAAGTCATCAGGTACATGAGGTAACCCATCAACTCTGCGTAAGGACCATTGGGCTCTACTAAATCCTCTGGAATAGGAGCTAAGAGCATGTGGTCTACTGGCAGAGGTGTGGGTTGTGCGGAGGAGAACTGAAGACCGAACCTCTGAAGGACCTGGTGCACCAAGTGTGACTGTGTGAGAGTGATGATGCGCGCTGCTCTGTCCTTGGAGATCTCC